GACTCTCTTAGACAAGAAGTGGAGTCTTGCATGGTCCTATTTAGCTCAGTGAAGCTAGGCTGTAGGAGGATCCCATAAGCAGGGTATGCAGCCGCAGCAACCCAGTGGTACCAAGGTAAGTTGGCAAACTGTACTAAAACAGTTTGACAAATTACACTGGGATACTTCAAATACTTGTAGTGGTTATGGTCCTTGGAACCTTCCTATAACACTTCAAGTTTGTGAAAATTTACATTGACAAAGCAAGGTTACTTTCCTGTTATCAGTGAGATTAAGGAAATGGCACAGTCCCTGAGACATTGTCCCGACACTAGGCATAATTATTACAAAGAGGTTTTCAAAATATAAAACCATTAAAAGAAGCTTCTTCTGGGTTGTGGTGTTTAAAAGGTACACTCTAAACACCAATACGAATACTCATTGATGCCCTTAGACAAGAAGTAGTGCCCTTATGGTGCAAGGAGGTCCCCAGTTCCTATCTCATCAGTGGCTTAATGAAACCATGTGCAGAGTCCGCAAAACATTGCTATCACATTGACAAGCACTGTGGTATGGCACCCATCAGCTTATTGAGCAATTCCACTCTTATCTTAAATTTTAAACTACTGCTGGTGGCTGAACGTTATGTCCCATATCTTCTTGGTGGCCAGATTTATATGGATAACAAACCTATTTGCCTGGATTGGTGGAGTTGTTTCCTTGTTTGAGCTGACCAACTGCAGGGGAGAATGTATTTGTAGTTTGCTTAGATATTTAGGGTCACTTACAGGTCCCTTTTAGGATTTTCAGTTTAGTAATGTTCTATTTGTCACATCCACTGTGCATGATTCATTGTTCCTTGTATAAATATTGTGAGTGTGGTGGGTTTTATTTTATTTTTTATATAGCGGCAGCAAATTCCATAGCGCTGTAAAATGAGTGGACTAACAGACACATAATTGTAACCAGACAAATGGACGCACAGGAACAGAGGGTTGAGGGCCCTGCTCAATGAGCTTACATGCTAGAGGGAGTGGGGTATAGTGACACAAAGGGTATAAGGAGGTATTGTTCTATTGTTAACGAATATGGCGTTTTTTGTTTTGTGTGGTTGCCATCTGTGTTGGTGTATAAAACACATAGCTGTATGGGAAATTGCTTCCTCTAAATAAGTTGTTTTGGTTAGGTTTACATCAATTGCCCCAGTCTATAAGATTGCTCTCTAAGTGATAAACGTGTCTTAGTACCCTATGAACACATACAGGTGAAACTAAGTGGTGGTGATGAGGGGAATGATGTTTGGCTGTTTTGGACAACTCACCCAGCTGGGGACCCTGAAGCCAGATGCCAACCCTGCAGTTCTTTCATTTGTTCTCAAAGTTGCAGCTGAGTGTTCCAACAATAAAAGGATCTCTCTCTCTCTCTCTCTCTCTCTCTCTCTCTATATATATATATATATATAATATACACAGAATGAATACTAGGAAGTCTGAAACGCTACTGCTTAATGAACGCTGCTGGAAGTGAAGTTACATCTGAAGTGGTCATGGAGCTTGGAGTTCCACTTTTAAAGGGACACTCCAAATAAATATATATACACTGCTCAAATAAAATCAAGGGAACACTTAAACAGCACAATGTAACTCCAAGTCAATCACACTTCTGTCCACTTAGGAAGCAACACTGAGTGACAATCAATTTCACATGATGTTGTGCAAATGGGATAGACAACAGGTGGAAATTATAGGCAATTAGCAAGACACCCCAATAAAAGAGGGGTTCTGCAGGTGGTGACCACTTCCCAGTTCCTATGCTTCCTGGCTGATGTTTTGGTCACTTTTGAATGCTGGCGGTGCTTTCACTCTAGTGGTAGCATGAGACGGAGTCTACAACACACACAAGTGGCTCAGGTAGTGCAGCTCATCCAGGATAGAACATCAATGCGAGCTGTGGCAAGAAGGTTTGCTGTGTCTGTCAGCGTAGTGTCCAGAGGATGGAGGCACTACCAGGAGACAGGCCAGTACATCAGGAGACGTGGAGGAGGCCATAGGAGGGCAACAACACAGCATCAGGACCGCTACCTACGCCTTTGTGCAAGAAGGAACAGGAGGAGCACTGCCAGAGCCCCGCAAAATGAATTCCAGTAGGCCACAAATGTGCATGTGTCTGCTCAAATGGTCAGAAACAGACTCCATGAGGGTGGTATGAGGGCCCGACATCCACAGGGGAGGGTTGTGCTTACAGCTCAACACCGTGCAGGACATTTGGCATTTGCCAGAGAACACCAAGATTGGCAAATTCGCCACTGGCACCCTGTGTTCTTCACAGATGAAAGCAGGTTCACACTGAGCACATGTGACACAGTCTGGAGACGCTGTGGAGGCATTGATGCTATGGAGTGGCCGGTTCCCCAGACCTGAATCCAATTGTTGCACCACAGACTGTCCAGGAGTTGGCAGATGCTTTAGTCCTGGTCTGGGAGGATATCCCTCAGGAGACCATCCGCCACCTCTTCAGGAACATGCATAGGCATTGTAGGGAGGTCATACAGGCACGTGGAGGCCCCACACACTACTGAGCCTCATTTTGACTTGTTTTAAGGACATTACATCAAAGTTGGATGAGCCTGTAGTGTGTTTTTCCACTTTAATTTTGAGTGTGACTCCAAATCCAGACCTCCATGGGTTGATAAATTTGATTCCCATTTTTTTTATTTTTGTCTGGTTTTGTTGTCAGCACATTCAACTATGTAAAGAGCAACATATTTCAGAAGAATATTTAATTCATTCAGATCTAGGATGTGTTATTTTTGTGTTCCCTTTATTTTTTTGAGCAGTGTATAGATATATACACACACACACATACAAAAATGTACTGTTTGCTATATACTCCAAATGAACACAATCATGCATTCAATGATGCATGTTACCATTGGGGCTATATCTAAACACAGCTTGCAAAAGGAACTTCTCAGTTTATTGAGCAGTTCCACTAATCCTATGTCACAAGTGGAAATGCGAGTTGTGGAATAAACCCACGGACAAGAGTGCGGTTGTACCATACATCTTTGGGACAAAAACTGAAAACTGCAGGTTGGGAGTGTGGGCCTGTGGAACAGAATGATATATTTTTTAACCTAAACAAACACTTTTTCACACTAGCTATAACGTAACCTAACCTGCACCTAGTTTGTGGATACTTGGCTTGCCCCTTTAACTCACCAGAGCTTTATTTAGTCAATAGAACACTACAATTTAAGCTACTTAAATAAATAATAATATAATTTGAGTCCATACTAAATGTAAAACCTCACAATAATCCAGAATCCATTTTGGTATCTCTCTCTCTCTTTTTTATTTTTATTTATTAGGTCTTGTCTGTTTTCAGCAATAATAAATGGATACAGTTGAGTATAATTTCATACACTGTATAAAAAACCCAAACCACTGGTAAAAGTATAATTCTCTACGTTATCACTTTTTTTTGGCTATCTTACAATTACATACAATAAAAGAGAGACCACAGTTTTAAAGACTAGATTATTAATAATAAGGTAACATTTCAATAGTAATTGCAGGAATTTTGTTTTATTCCGTTGATTTTTCGGAAACGTCCCCATCCAGAAATAAGAAAAGGGGAATATAAAAATTCATGCCAATTTCTGGATATTGAAACTTACCCAAGAACAATCAAAGCTCCCCAGTCATGATGTGAAAATCCCTCTCATCTGAAACCTGGGTTTCAATCATACATTCATTTTTTTTTGTACTGAAAATGAAGGCATATTCCTTGTTAAGGAATAGAATGCCTTCTGAAAGCCAGGATATAAAACTAGAGAAAAAATAAATAAAATAAATAAAAACAAAACCAACAGTTACATAATTGTATCTTCAGTCTCGCGGAACATACATTTAGTTAGCATTTGAAAAAAATAGCTACATTTGAACGTTCAACAGTAGGCCACCAGCTGCATTAGGAAAACAATTCCAACAATTCTTAGTCCATTAACAGCTGGTGGTCAAAGGTTGGACATCTTTTTGTCTCCGTTGTTAAAATTATGATGATCCATTCATTCTAAAATACTTTTTTTCCCCCTGTCACTAAATATATAATCTTAATGCAGAGATTCACAAAAACCAGATCAGAACATTCACAGCAAACTACTCTTAAAACATTTTGTATGTAAATAAATTGGAAAAAAAATCATTACTTGTTATTACAGACACTTTAATTTTTTTTTCATTATTGAACCAGGGCTCATGTCATTGTTGATCTCATTCAGATATTGCATCATTTTTTTTCCCCTTGGGCTGTAAACAGTGTTATAACATCATCGACCAACTACCTACGGCAATGCTGTTAATTCAGATATAGATCTCATATGCTTAATCTAAAAGACTCGTAATAGAAGATTAGTAACTTGACCAGGTACTCAGATGACCCTGTTGAGTCAAAGTTGGGAAGTCAAAATTGGTACATAGGCAATGTATTATTTATAAGAAACATGAGCAAAAAAACAAACAAAAAAACATGTTCCAGATGTGAATGCTTAAAAAGTTCTCAAAGCTACAGCACCAAGTACATCATTAGTTAAATATATATATATATATATATATATTTTTATTTTTTTTTATTTTTTTTTAAGTGGAAACCGACAGAGTGAAATAAAACATTCTTGTTATTTTTTATTGTACAGCTGCTGCATTATTATTTAATTACATTATTATATGCCTATTGTAGGAAAACATGCAGAGACACACTGCACACCAACATACACTACAAAATGTGTCTTTAAATGCAGAGTATGAGTCGTGCTTGGTCCTCTCCATAACGGGGACTGGTTTTGTAACTTAACTGATGGTTTCAGGATCATTTGCTAAACATAAGGATGAATGAGGGGCATGTTAACCTTTATCTGAATGTGACTTAGCTTGATTGGTTATCATACATAGAATTTAAAGTTCATGGTACAACAGAATTCCATGTGCAGAACCAGCAGGGAAGAGTTTATTACATGTGGGTTACCAATCACGAGAAAGCTTAGTGTTCTGATCCCTTTTGGGAGGGGCTGGAGGTGGCCCCCTTCGTAATGTTGCATAGCCTGATAAATGGCTGCCTCCATAGCAGTTAGCTTTTTGATTGTCTCCTAGCAGTTCTGGAAGAGGAGGTGGCAGGACCATATCATCCATGGTGGCTGTGGGCTCAGGCCTTGATAAACGGGCAGATGACAATGAGCTATGCCTTGTAAAGGATTTTCTCTGTAGAGTCTTGTTCAGGTCAGCAAGGAAACCTGGTTGCACACTAAGACTTGGCTTAGGTGAAGTTGGTGGTACTTGTAGGCTGACAGGGGTAGATGATTCTGTCACTTCTGCTTGCATCAGACGCATGCTGTCATTCCTTTTTGGTCTGGTGGGTGGTGGGGCTTTCTTTACAGAAGATTTTGACCATGTCTGGGGTTGTGGATTTACCACAGCCACCTTTGGAGAAGTATTTCCAGAAAACAAAACAGGTGGTGGAGGTGGTGGCAGGAGCTCAAGATCTGCTGGTGGAGGTGGGAAATCGGATTCAGAATCAGACGGTGGAGATGGAAACTCGGTGACTGACACTTTTCCTGAAGGCAACGTCCCAGGGACTTGGCTGGAAAGATTTCCTTGCTGAAAAAACATGGGCAAATTTACACCTGAAAGGTTTAGTTTAACTGGCTTTGGTGGAGCTGCAGGGGGAGGTAATGACTCCTTTGATGGTGATCCTGGTGAGTCAGAGAACTTGCTGACTAGGCTGTCCACAGAGGATTTCTTAGATTCATGGTATTCAGCAGAGCTGTTCGATTTAATACTAGAATTGCGCTGGGGAGTGGGGGGAGGCTTCTTCCCTCCAGGACTGGATGTCTTGCTTGCCTTTTTAGCTGGCGAACCAGTCTTTTCTGGTGTGGGGGAAGGAGGTGGAACGGGAGATGTGGCAGGGGGAGGTGGAGGGGGTGGTGGAGGAAGAATTGTTAAGCTGCTTTCAGGTGGAGGAGGGGGGAAGTCAGAGGATGGAACTGAAAATGGCTGCCATTTTGGTTTTGCTTTCACAGCTGGTGGAGACTGTGGGGCAGAGATGGGAGTGCCTGGTTTAGGAGGCTGAGGTTCTGAAAGTGGTGGAGGTGGTGGTGGGAACTGACTAGCAATCAGCTTAACTGAAGGCATAGGGGAAAGTGGAGAAGATGGTGGTTTTGTTGAGAAGCTCTGCTGTTTTGGTAAGGTTGGAGGTGGAGTGGGAGCAGACATAACTGATGGACTCGTTGAAGATTGTTGCGTCTGTGAGAGTGTGAAATGAAGCTGCTTTTTGGGTGCAGTAGGAGGCCCCAGGGCTACAGACGCTGGTGGGGTGGCAACAGGCAGGGCTGGCTTGGAAACTGTCCCAAACTGTTAAATAGGTGCTTGGAATGGAGGGGGAGGAGGTGGTGGTGGAGGTGGTAGTGGAGGTGGTGGAGGGGGCTGGGTAGCCTGGGCAATGTTGTTTTGCTGGACTTGATTGATTTTCAGTGGAGGTGGTGGTGGTGTAAACTGAGGCATAGATGGTGTACATGGAAATGGTTTTAGCATTGCCATTGTTGAACCTGGTGGTGGTGGCGGTGGAGGCGGGGATAGCCCCATTTGGGGTAACAATCATCTGATGCTTTGAACTTGGTGGAATGTGTTGAACTGTGCTATTTGATGTGGGGGATTTAAAGGTAGGCCCTGGATATTGGGCAGCATTTTGTAATCTTGTGATGGTACTGTATTTAGCAAACAAAATTGGTGTGGACACAGAAGGACTTTTAGATTGGGTGGGAAGTGAAGGTGGGGGAGGGGGTGGAGGAGGAGGTGGCGGCGGTGGGGGTGGAGGAGGTGGTGCAAGGGGTGATGGCTGAGATGATGCATGAGGAGATACAGCCCTGATCTGGATGTGTGGCTGAGGAGTCAGAGAAACTAAAGGACGATTTAAGGTTTCCATTCGAGCCTAGAATATATAAAATAAAAAGCATTAGATATAGCTTGTAATGTATACACATGCCACTTTGTACAAAACAATCAACAGTGGACATCACAAAGACAGTGGGTGAACACAAAAGGAGGTTTTCCAGAAATAACAAAATTCTTAATATATTATTTGCAGTAGCACAGTTGAATGGATATTACAACTGAATGTAAGTTGCGTCTTTGTAAATAAAAGGATTAAACTTCCCAGTGTTGCAGTAGCAATAAAGAAGTTAGAAAATGCACAGCTTTAGAAAGGAAATGTAATATGCAGATCTCATCACCAACACCAGAATCCTGAACGCTGAGGAAGTGCATTGCAATAAAAAAATAAAAGTTAAAATTCCATATTTGGTGACATACAAGAAGACATTGGTTGGAAACAGACAACACGAGAGGGTAGAAGGTGCATGACAACAGACAATGCAGAGGTGAGAAGAGGCAAGTTAAGCAGGACATAGCTTTAAATTCCTACTCTAAAAAAGAATGCCCTGCTATTGAGTAATCAAAATCCTGTGCAGCCAGTTGCAAGAAAGGAAGCCTTCTGTGTCCTACTAGAAAAAGTTTATTTCTGTAGACTTTATTATATCTATATTCTTTGATACCTAAGCCTTAATTATAAAAGAGGATGGCCATCTAGGAATTAAGGCAGCGGACTGGATCCCCTTAAGGGGAGATAACCTGTCTCTTAAAACACTATTGACAGTATTTGGTGCATATAATTGCGGACACTAAATTAGTATAAAAATGGGTAGAAGTCTGCATTAAATGCAGCTTTTCTCTACAAAATGTGGGTAGTACTAACATTACCACAATAACTTGGCAATTGGCAGCAATCTGCTTAACTTACATCTGACATACTAGAATTCCAGATTTTTGTTGGGATATGCAGTGGAAAGTTCTTTCATTAGCCACTATATTAAGGATTTGACAAGAAAATGAAAAAACAAAGCCTCAAAACTGCAAGCCAAAAACATTACTGCTACAATAATGTCCTACCCTATGATCTAATTAGGCTAAAGCTTTACCTGATCCCCTTTTGTATTGAAAAAGTTATTAAAAAAACCCAAAGAAAAATAAAAAGGAAACGTCTGCTTTTCGGCAGAGAAAAAACATTAACCAAACATAAGCCAGGGGGCTTGTGTTAATGTTTGTTCATGATTCGTTTGCTTTATTTTCAGGAAAGGATAAAGGATTCTTTAGAAAGTTAGTCTGGAGGATTCCAGTTAAACAACATCCAGGTTAAGTGTGTTTTTAGATGACCCCTGACCTTAATTCCGCCCCGTACAACTTGCTGTGGGCTTGATGGCCTTAGAAGAGTTGGGCTTCACATTTGGAACCTGGGACAATGAGGCAATAGGAGAAACACGAGCAGTGAAATAAAATGCGTGGCGACAGAATAGCAACATCATGCCAATGCGTATTTTTCAACCCCGTTCTATCGGAATTCCCAATCATTCCGTCTTACAATGAAGGCTGGCCAATTTATTTCATACCCATGGCCTGACCAAATTTAAAAGCATGATTATTACACTACGGTGCATGAAGGTTCAAATTGTTTTCACGATTTATAGATGTCCTCACGAAGAGAGGCTTCTGCAATGGTCTGTAAACTTGCCAAAGTGTGTGGTAATGTGGCAACATAATGGGTATGACTTGATGTAGAGAGAATGGTACTAAACACTGGTCTACATTGTGGGATAGGAAATCATGGCTGTGATACGGGATAACGGGAAACAGGAATAAAAACCCAGCAGCCTTCTACCCATGCAGCTCAGCCATTCATGCCTTATTTAGTTTTAGTGGGAGTGGAGGGTATGATCACTCTACCTTGCTGGATTCCTCCAGCTGCGTTCCTCTCTTCCAGGCTTCAGAGAAGATAGAACTCACAGAACTTCTAGTTTTTCCTCCCTCAAGTGCTGCTACTCCTGTGTCTGTCGCCATCCAAGTCAACGGCGCTACTATCACCTCTACCTCCTAGGCTCGCTGCCTAGGAGTTCTTTTTGATTCTGATCTCTCTTTTACTCCCCATGTTCAATCGATAACCAAATCCTGTCGTTTCCAACTCAAGAACATAGCGCGGCTAAGGTACTGGTTCATGCTGTTGTTCTCTCTCGCCTTGATTATTGCAATCCCCTTCTCACCGGTCTTACATGTTCCCAGCTTGCACCGCAGCAATCTATAATGAATACAGCTGCGAGGCTTATTTTCCTGTCCGGTCGCACCTCCCACGCCTCCACGTTCTGTCAGTCCCTGCATTGGCTTCCAGTTAGATATAGGGCCCAATTCAAAATTCTGGCGCTTGCTTACAAATCCCTACATAATGCTGCTCCAACATACCTATCCTCGCTCATACATAAGTATGTCCCGTCGAGACCCCTGCGCTCAGCCCAAGACCTACGCCTATCCGCTGCCCAGATCCTAAAGCCTATCAATTAAACTGTCAGCAGGTTTCTCATCCCCCACCCCATGACTCCGTTCCTGCAACTGTCAAAAATGACCTACCAAGCACTCAATAAACCCTTCTGTAACAAACTATTTAATTCCCCTACTTTAACTCTTTGTGTCACTATACCCCACTCCCTCTAGCATGTAAGCTCATCGAGCAGGGCCCTCAACCCCCTCTGTTCCTGTACGTCAGTGGTCTGATCTCAATTATGTGTCTGTTAGTCCACCCATTGTACAGCGCTACGGAATTTGTTGGCGCTATATAAATAATAAAATAATAATAATAATGCTTTGAGAACGCATATGGCAGGAGGCTTGACTATCAGAAAGGCCGCTGTCTGACTGGTTGGAATGGTTCGATTGAGATTCTGTATGAGGAACACAAACAGTGGGATAACTCAAAATTTTTACAAAACATTCTAAGCAATCTTTTTCTCTGTAATAAGCACATTTTGTAATTGCCTTGGAAATCATGTCTAATTTCACGTCCTGTTGTTTTTTTGTAGTCAGACAAGTTTGTCATTAAACTCTGAATTTTAGCAGATCCCTCCTCCATTCATTAGCTGAGAGCGACTGCTGGCTGCTTTCAGCAAATGAATGTATTTCTACCATATGAATATGCACAGAACTGTCATCAGCCGGCACAGAACTCTTATCTTGGGCTGGTGAATGATGTCCCAATGATGCTGCTGAAGGTGGAGTTACACCTCTGATTACACCTCAGACACCAGAGGAGTTAAACGCCATATGAGCAGCATTTCAAATTAGTTTCCACGCACCATGACCACTTCAAATTACATAAAGGGACACTATTGTCACCAAAACAACTTTAGATTAACAAAGTAGTTTTGGTGTAGAGATTATGCCCCTGCAGTCTCATTGCTCAATTCTTTGCCATTTAGGAATCAAATCACTTTGTTTATGCAGCCCTAGGCACACCTCCCTGCATGTGACTTATACAGCCTACCTAAACACATCCTGTAAAGAGTCATCTAATTTTTACCCTTCCATTACTGCAAATTCTATTTAAATGTCATAGATATGTATATATTTGCTAAGATTTTTTTAAGTAGCCTTGTTAACTGTAAAGCTGTATTTTTTTTTGTGTGTGTGTGCACTATTCCTTTAACTGTATTTTGTATATGTTTTGGTCTTTACAGCAGCACCACTGCTTGGAAATGCATGTTCTGGGTGTGCCCCCAAATCCCATTACACATAATCACAGACATACACAACCACAGACCCACACATGCAGACATACAATCACAGACACACTCACAATCACATGCACACACCCAATCACATATATAAACATGATCACAGATCTACACACACAATCACATACATACACAGAATCACAGACATACACAAACAGACCCACACACGTACATAAACACTCACATACACATATAACTACTGGCATACACCCACAAAAATCACATTAATGCACATTTAATTTAGTAATTAAGACGTCCACCCAGCCTCCC